CCAACCGACCACCCATGGCATTGGCGCCATCGCCGACAACCATGGCTAAAGATGCCGCCAGTGACCGGCTGCTAAAATGGGCAGGGTGCTCCTCCAGAATCTCCAACGCGACCTTCTTCAATTGTGGACCTGCATGATCACCGACACCCAAAGTCTTCCCGCCAACCATCGGTGTGTAAGCACGACCTGTGGCAAATTATTAGTTGTTAATTTATTCTGTGAAAAAATAGATAGAAGACACAAAGGTGACCGGCTAGTGCCATGATGCTTTGGACATGAAGAGGAAGCCTGTGCTTTGGCTCACGACCGACAGTCCGACCAGCAACACATTGTCCCGCTTCAGCATTTGTTCTTTGCCAATGGAGATGGAGTCCAACATGACACCTTGCTTAGTGAGATGAGCCACATCACTGATTCACACACACAGTTGCAGCATCGACTGTCTAATCTGGCGGCAAAGCACAGAAGTCGCTTGGAATGCCTAGGCCAACGACCAGCCGTTGAAAATCCATCGCATCCAAATTCTGCAATGCCCTGGCGGCATAGAACTCCACCTCGCGGCAGAACGACCGGCTGCAAGGCCAATGGCCCAATTGCACTCCACGCCGGCGGTTCCTCTCGGCATCTCTTTCAAAAGAGAGGAAGGACCGGCCTTCGGATGCGTTGGAAAGGCAAATGTCGACTACTGTGTCCAGTGACAGCTCCTTGTCGACCGACACGGCCTTCTGTTTCCTTTGTATACCCTCCTTCTCTTTCTCTTTGAGCTTCTCGCGTTCAAACTCTTCAAGCTTCGACCGGCTCTGCATGGATCGTTCTACGCTGGTGGTTCCCAAACCCAATAGAGCTGCTGCTACCCTTTCGACCAGTGATTTGCCAGCAAACTTCCTTTCAGGCAGCAGTTATTGTATTGAATCAATTACTTAAATTAGTTAACTGAAATAATTTTGCAGATGATAATTGATAAATCTATAAAATATTGGATTTGGAAGACCCAGCCTGACCGGCATGTATTTCATCACGGCCGACAAGACGTCTTTCGGGCAGCGCTGAAGGTTGGTCATGACATTGACCGACAAAACTTGGCCTTGGCCTTGCAAGGCAGCATGTCTGTCCACGAACGTACCACAGTTCTCCCCTGGTCGCCAAAGGCGACCGTCGACTTCATCTTCGACCGGCATTTCGGCTTCGCTGTCAGAAACACTGGGTTCGGATGCAGCATCGGCTGACGAGGAATCAAAGTTTTGTGTGCAAGCGACCGACTCGGAGGTTTCTGACCTTAAAGAAGGCACAAACTCCTCGTCAGACATGGCTCCGTCAGACATGGCTCTTATGGATGGCGATCAACTCTACCCCAGCAAAGGTTCATGGGTTGCGTTTTGGGTGAGGTGTGCTGGCCAAACTGCTTTACTGATTCCTGATGTCTGTCAGTTCTGGAGAATGAGATGACGTCCAGGCACAGTTGCATCAAGCACTTCGGTTGCCTGTCTGACAAACACTGGGAAGCCCTGGCTGGGTGACTGACTGAGAAACTGTGCAAAGTCCAAGAACACTTTTCTCAGCTTCACCTTTCACATCTCACAATACGGCTCTTAGTCTCAATGTGATGGATGCTGGGACCCTGGCAAGGCCTTGGCGACCGGCTGGCATGATGCGCGAAGTCAAGAACATTTTGTGCACCTCCAGTCTGATACTGGCTCTTGAATTGTCCTCTCTGCAAGTGTTGCCAGTTGAATGAAAAGCTTCTGGGCAAATAGCGGGGATGGAACTGCTCTCCACTGTCATCGGACAGAGAACCTGAGCAGGGTGAAATGACATTTGTGGTGTCATCATCAGAATCAGAATCGACACATCTTCCACCATGAACCATTTTTCTGATGCTGCCACAGAGCCCCAGACCGTCGGACGAATCAGCAAAACTCCACAAAGTGTCAAAACAATTCTGTCGACGGGTTATCCCCGATGGCAGAGTCGACCGTCGGACGAATCAGCAAAACTCCACAAAGTGTGCACACAATTGTGTCGACGGGTTATCCCTGATGGCAGAGTCGACCGTCGGACGACGAATCAGCAAAAAATCCGCGTGAAGTGGGAAAACAATTCTGTCGACGGGTTATCCCCGATGGCAGACTTAACATGCGGATAGTTATAGTTGTCAGCGACCGACTTCAGTGACCGACTTCGCGACCGACAAGCAAGCCGAGATGTCCCGGCTTGCCGGGAATGATCAGCTGTTTGTCGATCACTAGGCAAGCTTTGACCGGCGTGAGACTCCCTTTGCTGCCATTTTTCATCACCCACCTCCAAGAAGCATCCGTGGCCTTGTTGAGCTGGGCCATCACGACCGACGCGTCATCTCCTGGAACCCAAACCATCTGCTGGTTAGGTTTCAGACCGGCCGATGGGAGGGAACCTTGGGTGAAGGAAGGCGGGATGTGCTCCCAAACGGAGTTCGACTTGAGGCTGGCGACCGCGTCTGCGACCGTCACTTGCTTCCCATTGACAATGACCTTGTCCTTCGAAGAGGTCAGCTTGTACTCCAGACCGACAGCACTGGAGTTTTTGCGGAAACGACCGGCGCTGCAATCCAGAGTGTACACAATTGTGCCTGGAGGCAGCCTCTTGTTGGTGGAGGTTCCGACCGGCAAAAGGATCCTCAAGTTCTGCAAGTCCAAGCGAAACGTGGCATCACCCACGATGAAATTGGCGACCGACGCAGGGTTCAGCTCCGGCTCCGGGGCTGTTACATCAGCTTTGACGACCGGCGGCGAAGTCTCAGCTGCAGCAGACGGGGCTGGCTTGTCGACCGGCACTGGACCAGTAGCGGGAGCCGGAGTGACCGGAGCCGGTGCGACCGGCGAAGGCTTGGCCTTGGCCTCTGAGGTTCGGGGTTTTTTGCCAGCTGGCTCCACTGTTGTCTCTTCCTTGACCGGCGGCTCATTCACAGGCTCCTGAAACCACTTATCCATGAACTGCTTCTTGCTGGCAGCGAGCTCGACCGGCGTGGCTTGTGACCTGTCAGAGTAATAATAAACGTGCTGCATCAGCAAGCAATGGACTCGACAGCAACCTAACTATCGCAGCCAGGTGGCGGATCATAGTCTGGACCCAGGTCGACCGACACGACCGACTTTGCAGCAATGCCACACCCATTCCGTGTCTTGACGACCAATGCGATGAGACCGTCAGAGGCGCCCTGGCTGATGTCAAAGTTGAAGGCCGCGTTTGCTCGCTTTGCGGCTTTACTGAGCGGGGCGACGTGGCTAGCAGCCCCAATTAACAGTGACCAGACCGACGAGGAGCGATCCTCTGTCAAACCGACGCAGTCCGTCCTGAGCACAGGATTCTTGGCGAGGTTCACTTTGTCGGAGTTCACGACCGACAAGAGGCTTGCCATGTTGTCGAAATGCAAAGCACTGCATGTGCATATCAAGTCCCCCTCCTTTTTAGGGACAGTCGTGATGAGTGCAACATGACCGTCGATGACCGACAATCCCAGGTCATACTTGACCAGCTCCTCATGTGTGAGATCGTTGCATTTCTTCTCCATGTCATTGTAGTTGGCAACCGACTTGTTGATACCTCAGTTCGGAATTGCACACGTCCTATCATAATCGATCAATGCATGACATGAAGGTCAGTCAGAACTCAAGCCAAAACACCATTTCGCCAGGTGCTCTCGACCGGAATCTCCAACAGCTTGAACACTGAGCCCTCTGCTGCATAGGGGTTAAAGACCGGCACACACGGGATGTCTGTCACCTTGCGCTTCAAGTTCAATGACCGGCTAGCTTCATCCAGTTTCAGGGCGGTGCACATGTCGTCGAGCAAGACTCGGCCATGTGCCATGGAGTGCCTGAGCTTAACATGCATTCCTGCGAAAAGCTTTTGGTTGACACACGTTTCATGCTTTGTCGGCAAGATGCTCGACCGGCCCACGAACCATACCTATGACTGTGGAGACGACCGACTGGACCCCAACGAAGATGGAAGGATGGGCTGTGCGTGTGGAGACCGCCATCCACCTGCACTGATCACCACGGAAGACTTCTCGCACGACCGACGCATGGTGATCCCAGCATTTGGCCACCAACCACAAATCCACAGGATACTTCTTGTCGACGGACGCTTCGACCGCCTGTGTGTCAGGACCGGCTTCCTCTGTGGTGTCCAACGTCTTGCTATCCTCTGGCTGCTCTTGGTCACTGACCGGCAACTCCTCCCAGATTCAGTAAAGTGATTGATGACGTCCACATCAAACCCTGAACTGCACCTGGACTGCACCTGAACTGCACCTGAATGGCACCAATATAGAAAACCTCATCACCTGAACTGCACCTGAACTGCACCTGAACTGCACCTGACCTGCACCTGCCGCCCTGCCCCCCACAAAGGTCCTCTGTGGGATGGGCCGGCATGTCTGTCATGGGTTTGCACGGCCTGAGCTTGCCTCAGTAGGAGTGTGGGTTAGTGTGGGCAGTGGGGCCATTAGTCTAGTTTCAAGGATTCTTTTAATTTAATTCAAAGGCACAATTGTAGTCGGTGCAGCGCATCTGTAACTTCTCATAGGCAAATGACCGGCATTTGTTGACAGTCACATGGCTCGGCACCACCTCCTTCGCAGAGACCGACAACTCCGACTGTGAATAGACCATGTAAGTCGGTCGACGATTCCGGGACTGTTCTGGACCGGCAGTGAAGGTGATGACGTACGCCTCACGGTTTGGGATCATCGTCTGCAGCTGGTTCCTTAGCTGTAGTGTTGCATCGACCGACCAATTGGATTGTCGCACCCCAAAACTTGCACTGACCACGATTGCCACTGCAGATGCTTTAAATCTTTTTTTGGCTTCCTGCATGCCCCTTCACACAGAAATTTGACACCCGACGACTGGCGGTTCAACGACCAGCGTGGTGTCTGTACTTCTCCTCTGCAGCAATAATGAAAAGCCTCAGCTGCTGTCGCTCGTTCGGCAGCTTTTTCAAGAAAGCTCTTATGTCTTCTTGAGCGCCAGAGACGACCGGCACGTTCTTATCAATTCGGGAATTGATGAAGGACATGTCATACAGCACCTTCACTGTGACAAACAAATGACACAGTGTCGATGTTGTGAAGATCGCAAACAAGAGACACCCGACCGCCCAAAGATCAGCTGTGGGTGCCAACCTCACCCTTACAGCAAAGCTACGACCGGGTTCCTGTGACCCGGAGGTCTGTACGCTGCAGAGTACACCTCGTCACCATAGACAGCTGTCCCGACCGGCTCAGTGAGGCCGAAGTCTGCCCAGCGGGCTCGAACATGGGGGGCAGGACCGACAAGTATGTTCTGTGGCTTCACATCACAGTGCACAAGCTTGTGACAGTGCAGATACTGGAGTCCATGTGCAAGATCGACCATCAGATGCCATTTGTGTGGGCACTTTGCGGCCTTGGGCTGCGTCTTCAGCCAAGCGTCCAATGTCACCGGCACATACTCCAAAAGAAGGCCCACGAGACCTCCGTCGACCGACATGACTGGCCCATAACAATGCAGGATGGCTGGGTGGCGTAGACTGAGGAGAACGTCTAGCTCCCTCTTCACGTCCCTGCTGCCGACCGGCAACCTCGACATGACAAGATGCAGCACTAAACCCAAAGTCGACAAAGACATCATTCGTTCATTCATTCATGATTGTTCAATCGCATGAACCTTAATAATAAAATGAATAGCCAAGATGCTTCACTGCGAACTCCGTTCCCATCAAGTTTTCACAGCGGTAAACTGTGCCATGGGCGCCTTGTCCCAGGGTCGACCGACTGGAAAGTGCCATGCCTTCAAAGGAGAACCTCAATTCATTGACGAGGTTCTCATCGACCGGTGGCTGCTGGTCACTATCATTCTCAGGCTTCGGGTCTCTGACCGGCGAGTCGACTTCCACTGGAGGATGAGCGAGCTCCCTCTTGAGGGCGTTGTGCTTTCTGTGATCCTTGACCGCCGCGTCCACAAAGGGTTGTTTCTCCTTTTTTGACATCTGCTTCCATCGCGACCGGCTCTGATCTAAGTTTTTCAAGAAGGTTTTGACTCGAAGGCGCTTCAATGGAGGGTCGACCGTCCCTGTCCTGGCGACCGTCGCACAGTAACGGGCATAGGGCCCTGCCACCCTCTTCAGCCCGAGGCTTTTGTTACTGATTCGACCCATGAAGGTCGACCGGCCGTTTTGGACTTGAGCCGAAGCAACGCTGAGCACAGCAGTCGACCGACAAGTCTAGAAAGAACTCTGTGCCATCCAAGGTTCACGACCAACGTCACTAAGTCGTGGCGCTTTCCACAGAAGATGCCCATGGACACGTATTGCCGATCTACGACCGACGTGACGACCTTCCACAACTCTGCCATGTCCCCCAAAATGATCTTGGCCTTCGACGTGGCCTCATCGATGTAAATGCCGCCACGGGTCGTCGCCCGGCATAGACCGACGAAGCCATCACCAAAGGTCTTCATGTCATGAAACAGATGAATGTTGGAGCGGACCGACAAGCCGAGCTCCTCAGCTTTTTCAAGAACAGGATCCTTCTCCACCAGTGGGGCCTCCATCGTGATGTCGTCAGCCAAGATCCCAGACTCGTCGTCTCCCCCCTCAACGACCAGCTTGTGCTCTGTGACCGTTGCTTTGGCCGCATCCACAGCACTTTCGGCTTCATCCACTGCACGACCAGCGGCCAGATTCTTCAACCCTTGGAGGACCGACACACACTCAGGGATGCCACTGCCCTCGATCTTCGGGTCACCAGACAGACCGACGCCAAGACGCATGCACGTCCTTGGCAACCCCATCACCAAAATAATGAGACATGGCACTGAATGTCAGTTATAGTTCATAGTGCTAGCAAGCCTCAAAATGCGCGACCGTCCACGCTCACTCCACAGCATCTTCTGACAGCGGTCATACGCTGGTAGGCGGCTCACGACCGACGAGTACTTCTTCATGACCAACTGACACCACAACTGTGCCTTCAACATTGGGGCACAAAAGTCAGACATGAAGGTCGGTATGGAAGAGACCGTCCCGCGACCGTCACAGAAGTCATAGAAAAGCTGCAGAGCAGCAATCTGCTGCTCGGGTTCCAGGAGGAAGCCTGAGCCAACTGCATTCCGCGACCAACAATGCAGGGAAACCTAACAGCATGGCATGCCGCCGAGTTACGTGTCTCTTCTCCTTGACCGACGAAGTACTTGTTCGTGAAAACAAGTCCCTGTGGCAGGTCGGGCTTCTCCTTCAGCTTGATCAGGACCGGCTCTTTTAACACTGCAGTCGCTTTGCACCAGTTGTGGATTGTTGACCGGCGTGACTTGCCCAAAATTTCCACCATGGCGTTCTCGGCGTCCTGACAGATGAGACTCAGGGCCAGCAACAAAAACAGGTGGTCGACCGACTGTCCTTTATCAGACCGCCAGGAACTTTGGCGACATAAGCACGCACAAGTTTGATCTTGTGCTCGACCGACGTCGTCCGCAACTTGTTGGCCTCCTGCTCATGGGCCATGGTGTAGAAGAGCTTGACCGCCGCCTGACACAGGAGTAACTAGTGACCGTCATGAGTGTCTAGTCATACTGCACATCCCTGGCCTCATCATCATCCAAGAATTTGATGCAATCAAAACGCATTCCGACCGTCAGAATGTCCTTGATCTCACCTGTGTACCACTCGAGCTGCGTTGCATCATCGGACTGAGCGACCGTCTCAGCAGCTTTCCTCGGTCAGAAAGTAATTTAAAATTAAGGGAAATGAAAACCGTGGACTTCGACCGACTCTTTTCTGACCAGCTGACAAACCAGTGCACACCAGAACGTGGAATTGGACCGACAAACTACACGTCGTCAAGTATCTTCAACGCTGCGATACAGTGCTTGCCATCTGCCAGCTTCGACCGGCCATCAGATGCGGCCATAGGACGACCAGCAGGATCATACCTGCGAAACCCAAGAGTGAACTACCAAGCACGAGAAAATAAACTTTTCGACTGGCCTCAGCTTCGGTCGGGACAACGAAGCCTGGCCCCAACGACCGGCCAAAATCACCTTCTCATACAACTCCAGGACACGATCCTCATCGACGTCCCGATGGCCGGAATCATGGGCGACCGACACGTCGTCAAGCTTTAAGAGCTTGCTCTCCACGTAGACCGGCGCGTAAGCAGGAGTGCCTGCTTTCTTGGACATGGCTCGACCGGCCGACTTGGTTCGGAACCCCGAGGATCGGTTGCTAAGGCTTGTAAGCCCAAACTCCAGGTAGGCAACGGCACGACCGACACTCAGAGATGTGCTTCCAAGATCATCGACCGGCCTGCCGATGTTGAACCCACAAGATAGGCCCACAAGGCTTAGCAACCTATTCTGCTGGTTCAACTGGAAGAGCATGCACGACCGGCTAAGGTGCTGCAACATATGTGTCAGAGTGGGACCGACCTAGGACGATGCAGCACTAGACCGACTTTAACCCCCAAGATAGGACCACAAGCCTTAGCAAAGCATCCTTTGGGTTCAACTTAGTGAAGGCATGTATTCAACCTTGGAGGTCATCTCTGGCTCGGGCTGTCGACCGATGTCTGAACTGGTAACTTGGGGCTACAAGCCTTAGCAACCGATCCTGGGGGTTCCGAACCAAATGCAGCCCAGAGTGGATTCCAAAGCATGTGCCATGCGCTGGAATGCACCATGGACCGCCAGGCTGGCATGCATTGTGCTACCAAGTCAACAACTTGACTACATGACAGAACCAACAGGTAACAAACAAAGTCAGGTATGCTGCACTCAATCTCGAACACTAAGTCGACTGGCATGCCCTCTCACGTGCTTCACATTTTAAACACATGTCTCGCTGGCTGCTGAAACCGACAGACGACTGTGGCTCTATGCACACATGGCATGGCCGACAGCTGGCAGGACAGGCTGCATCTGGCATTCAGAAAACACTATCGTCATGATCATGATGGTCTGTCATTATTTGACCGACAACTGCCAGGGCCAGCCTGCCTGCTAGAGTGAGGAAAAAGGCCTTTGACTCGACCGGCGTGGTGGACATCAGCTAGACTCAGCGACCTGGTCCATGACGAGCGGCTGCTTTGTCTTGCCTGCAACATCTTCCTCGACCGACTCCATGACGAGTGGCTGCTTTGTCTTGCCCGCCAGATCCTCGACCGACACCGTTGTCTTGCCCGCCAGATCCACGACCGACTCTTTGGCGAGCATCTCATCCATTTCTGCGACCAGCTTCTTCTGTATCGCGAGCAGAGTTGACGACCGACTGTTCAGCTCCTCCAACTCTTTATCGTTCTGGTACATGTATTCTTTCAGCGTCTCGAGGTTCTTTAACTTCACGAAGTCACCGACCGGCACCTTGTTGCTGAACTGAACCATGACCTTGTACTCCGCGGCGACCGACTCAACGCCCATCTGGGGAAGCGTCGGCGCGTAGTAGTAGTCCTGAGCAGACAGCTTATGCTGTAGATTGCAACTGCAGGATTAGAAATCATGCAACTGCAACATCACTGAATCGAATGCCACCAAAGCACACAGACCGGCGACATGCTTTCATCATAGTGAAGGAGTCCAGCTGGAAGCATGCCCACTCCATAGTAGCTCAGCCGCACATCGACCGCCGTGCCGCCACCTGCCAGCCAACACATCAGCGCAGCCTTCGTCGGGTTACTGAAATACATATATCCAGTGCCACCCCGACCGACTGTGGAGGAAGGCCGCTTTTGCCCTCGGGGCTTGTTGATGCTGTTGGCCAGCAGCTTCTTCACGACCGACAGCTCCGTCACATCATCGGAGATCTTGTAGAACACGAAAGCAGGCTTGTCGACCGGCACGTCACTTGGCAACGCCTCCACCTCGAGGCGGGCGTCCATGCGTGTGACTTTGAGGTGCTTCTCGACCGACAAGTCGAGGTTCCTCACGACGAAGCCGTCGTTGGTGCATGGTCTGACCGACCCTTGTTCCATAGCCAGTTGGAACTCATCGACCTGCACTTCCAGCACGACCACGAACCGGGTCAACAGAAGTTTGACCTCATCTTCCCGACCGGCGTTATCAGTAACACACATGATTGTGCCCCCAGCCGAAACACGATGGGCCTGCTCCTTGTGCTTCGACCGTTGGTACATCGGCCCCGGAATGGGATCCGTGTCGGAAAGCTGGTATTGCATCCTGACCGACCGGGCAGTTCAGAACTAAGGACGACCTACACTACTGCATCCTCGCTGGTCATGATAAATGAACTGAAACACAGCAGCAAGGCACCTGCGACCGACACCAGCGATAGCCTTATAGACAGCGACCGATGGGGAGAAATAGGCCTGGACGTCGGGAACTGGGTTCCAGAGCCAGTGCTCCCACTGGTCGACCGACAGTCCGACATAACCTGTCTTGGCCATAGCGACGGGGAGTGGGGCCGGCAAGTCTCGTGAAGCTGAAATTGCTTTGTGGCATGGCAGGCATCATAGACATAGACCGACTGTGACTGTGCCCAACAACTGCAGGTAACCAATGAGGACCAGGCCAACCGGCACCCGCTGATCAGACATCATAGAGCTGGAGTCCAGTTCTATGGTGTCTGACCAGATGGTGATGGTAGGCGACCGACCTTGGCAAATATGAATCATGAAGTCATAGCTAGTTACAGTATCCAAAGCACGCTGCCCACGCATGTGTCTGAGAACACCACCGGCAAGGAAAGTAGATCTGCTTCTGTCTGGACCTCAATACTTAAGGTGACTGGGATCTCAAATTGGCATGGACCTGTTACTGCTACAGGAGCCCGACCTCCCAGAGCATCCAAGGAGCTCCTCAACCCTTCGTCGGCGCCACTCAGCCAGTCGTAGTTCGACTGGCTGAGCGGTGCCGACGAAGGGTTGAGGACACCTGTCGGTAGCTCTCCTCGACCGGCAACACTTCCTGACCAGGTGTTGCTAAGTCAATCATTACAGCAGTGTCCAGCATTATTGAATGCTGATCGACACTGAGGCCTGTACCCTGAGCCATGAAGATTTACATTGGGTGGTCTGGGAGGTGATAGACCTTGAGCGAACACACACATAACACTTTCGAAAGTACACTGCCCACGCATGTGTCTGAGAACACCACCGGCAAAGAAAGTAGATCTGCTTCTGCCTGGACCTCAATACTTAAGGTGACTGGGATCTCAAATTGGCATGGACCTGTTACTGCTACAGGAGCCCGACCTCCCAGAGCATCCAAGGAGCTCCTCAACCCTTCGTCGGCGCCACTCAGCCAGTCGTAGTCGACTGGCTGAGCGGTGCCGACGAAGGGTTGAGGACACCTGTCGATAGCTCTCCTCGACCGGCAACACTTCCTGACCAGGTGTTGCTAAGTCAATCATTACAGCAGTGTCCAGCATTATTGAATGCTGACCGACACTGAGGCCTGTACCCTGAGCCATGAAGATTTAGATTGGGTGGTCTGGGAGGTGATAGACCTGGACTGAAAATTTCAATCCAGGTCTATGCCTCCCAGAGCACCCGAGGAGCTCGACCGGCAACACTTCCTGACCAGGTGTCGCCAAGATGTGGCAGAGAAGCTTTATGGATCAATCGGAGCACCTTGGCTTAAATATATATATATATATGTTGCAAGATAGTGACTGTCACTATCACTAGAGCCGATGTATTTAAGCCAAAACTGTGTGATGCTATGGGCAGGGACCGGCCAAGTAGTCTTACTCTGACCAGACCAGAGATCCTGGTAAGTTCATTCGTGTCTTTTTTGTGTAATACAGCATACCTTTTACTATTTTATGATTTGTATACCTCACATATGGTTGTGCAGCATCACCACACCTGAACTGCACCTGAACTGCACCTGAACTGCACCAATCTATAATAGCACGAACGCTGAACTGCACCTGAACTGCACCTCAACTGCACCTGAACTGCACCAGCATTATCCATGTTCATGGTTTCCCCCAGAAAGAATAAACAGAACAGACCGGCTAGTAGACCTTCTTGAATAATTAATTCCTACTAAGGGATATAGGTAAACTTATAGGGCTCTGTCTATTATTTCTAAAAAGGACAAGCGTGAACTGCACTGGAACCTTTGTGAATCAAAGCATCAAACCCAGCAGTCCTCCTGGACTGTGTCAGACCGTCGCTCAGCCGAGGCCATTGGGGGATCTTGTCATTTTGACGAGATCCCCCGATGGCCTCGGCTAGCCTGGCTCAAGGTGCCAAACAATGCATCTTGACTTGGCTCTGTGATCCTCAGATGAAACGTTGACTTAGTGCTGGACGACCGACTCGTCGCCGGGCCGGCCTGCCACGTCGGTGGTCTGTCCATCGGTCTGATTTATTTATGATTACACCTCACGAATCCGCCTCATGCGGGACACTGACCGGCCCCATGTGAAGCTCTCGCCTTGGAGCAAAAAGTAGACAGGTAAATACCGGAACACCCACTGCATCCAGGGATGTGGCAGGTCATGAAGATGTTGCCGAAAGCCTGTCCACGGGAAAATGCATCATTGCTGTAAACAAATGAGGTGGCACCCATGATGCATGAGCTGCACTTGTTTTGCCATCATTGCACGACCGTCGGTTTCTGCTCTGATCCGAGTCGATTCGAGCTGAAGACGGGACCGGCCATGGTAGGTTCTCATTTGAAGAGCTGAATTCTGAATGTGTCCATTAATGGCAACTCAATGAGAAGTGTTGCATAGTTTCATTGACTAAGTCGGTATATTAAGACTTGACTGACTGACTTAACTTATTCCAAACAAATCTAAACCGAAGCTGCCCCGTCTTCTGCGACTGTCGGTCCCGCAAGCGCTGTCGCAAACGACGACACGACAGAAAAAACAGGCGACCGACTCTTGCTGGAGGTCACGGTCACGACCCCATTGTTGCAGCTCCCATCAGGGATCCTGTGAACGTCAGGTGTTTGTGGAACTTGACAGTCAACATGACATGAACGCAACACACACACACACACAGTCGGAAGTCCTGCTGATGACCGTCTTGTGGCTGGTCCTCCGATGTTGAAGCACAGCTGTGACAGTGAATGCACTCTGACTACTCGTGTCTCTTGACCCCAGCTTCCAATCCAAGTGGAGACCTCCCTCGCAATGCAATCTTATACTTATGTGTCCCCGACGACCAGCAGTACAAACACATGTTCAGGAGTCCTACTGGTGTTGGAAGGGA